TCTCGCTCTTGCTCAGGCTGGTCTTGAACTCCTGAGCTCAAATGATCTACCATCTCGGCCTCCCAGAGTGCTAGGATTACAGGCGTGAGCCACTGCGCCCGGCCTAACTTGGTAGAATCTTAAAAATCACTAAAATTTTTAAGACACCTGGTGTTATTCCCTCCTTTTTTCCAAATGGAAAAATTAGGCCTAGAGAAATAAATGAGCTGCCCAAGATCGTATAACCAACTCATGAAAGTACGCAGACTAGAAGATGAGTTTCCTGACTGTCCTTTTTATATTCATCCCTTCCTATTTACATTTACCATTAACATTTCTAAATGTGTATCTGGTTTTTCTTACAGCTGTTTGATACATCAAATTTTTATAACAGTAATGTTTTGTTTCCATTTCTTAATGTAGAAGAGAACAACAATTCTAGGTCCAGGTCCCCAATGCTAGGAATCAAATCAACATTACTTAGCTTTTTTTGTTTTTTGTGGTTTTTTTTGGCTGGTATGAAAGAAACATTTAATGTTCAGGGTTTGGCTAATGTAATGGTCTTGGCTAGCAAAAATTTATCATTCATCAAAGATTGTTCACTACTATAATTCATCAAGTTAGAATTTAACCTATATATATTGAAGAGTTCTAACAAGAAAGCATATCAGAAGCAATGGTAATAGTTTATCAGCAACTCATGAGTGGAAAAGTTTGTATGGATAATTGTTTCCACTCTGTCTCTAAATCCATTTGGTATAAGTAAAATGAATCCTAAGAGGATTTTAGTTGCTTTAAAACAACAAAAATTTTTTTACTTGTTTTTGAACCAACTTTTTCAAACCAGCAAGTGTTTTGTGTTGTTTGAGATTTCTTTTGCCTAGAATAGCATATTATTGGATCAAACCATCTTCTGCATTTAAATGATGTCCTATCTTGTGAATTTGGCAGAGGGGCATGGGTTTTCACATGGGCCATAAAATATACTTACGTGAATACGCATATATACATGGAACGCTCATTATTTTATTCTGTTTTTTCCTTTGGCTACATACAGTAGTCTATATGAAAAGCCATTTATGAAAACTTCCTTTCAGATTTATTCACTATGTCTGGAGCCATAGAGGGAATTAATCCCTTTTTAATTGAATTAATGTTTTGATTTTTACTTTTTGTTTAGAGGTACTACATGCATGTGTTTTAAAAAAAAGTCTTAAAAAGCAGATCTCCCATACCCCCACTTCTAACCCTAACACCCACAGTTTCTCTGAGGGAGAAGATTTTTTTTCATTAACTAGCTGACTTACTTAAATTAGTGTCTTGGATTTTATTATTCCAATACAACAATAGTGAGAATTTTTAATAGGTAATCAATCCTGTTTCCCACATTGGACATAAAACTGGTTTAGACCTGATAACAATGCTTTTAGTTAATTGGGATGGTTGTGACAGTGGCTACAATACTGATGTCTCTTCTAGTGTGCATCTTCCCTCTATAACATTGACTCATTTTATTCTGTTTATATTGAGTAGATTTAGGAATGGGTTAGAGCATTCTTATACATATATGTATGTATAATAAACTATTACTGGTTTTTTCTGGTGTGTTTTCTGGTTAGGTTTTTTTCTCAGTTAAACTCTGACTTAATATAGGCTAACAAGATGACTTTTTCCTTTTTTTCTTTTCTTTTTTTTTGTATCCAAAAATCTTTTGAAGGATGGCTTTTTCTTTTAACCTTTTCTTTTCATGTTTTATTGAAGAAATGATAAACTTAGGAGACATTAGCCTAGGCAAAACTTGGATGATGCTATAATGATAGGTGTGTTACATAAATTATTGTTATTGTACAATTAAATCCTGCATCTTACAGATTTGGTGACAGATTGTTAAGCTACCCCCATGTGCATTCTAGGCCCTCTAGCAACTTTTTTTTTTTTTTTTTTTTGAGACAGAGTCTCACTATGTTGCCCGGCTAGAGTGCCATGGCGTCAGCCTAGCTCGCAGCAACCTCAAACTCCTGGGCTCAAGCGATCCTCCTGCCTCAGCCTCCCGAGTAGCTGGGACAACAGGCACGCGTCACCATGCCCGGCTAATTTTTTCTATATATTTTTAGTTGTCCAATTAATTTCTTTCTAATTTTAGTAGAGACGGGGTCTCGCTCTTGCTCAGGCTGGTCTCGAACTCCTGAGCTCAAGCAATCCGCCCGCCTCGGCCTCCCAGAGTGCTAGGATTACAGGCGTGAGCCACCGCGCCCGGCCTATTTTTAAGAAAGGACAATTTTTAAAATGAGATATTGTTTTTCTCCTAGTAGTTTACCAGACATTTGAATAGATCGCTAATAAATATTACTGGTAGGCGCCTGGAGACCAAATACTTTGGTGTACTACTCATGGCAATGCAAATTGTATAGTATATCTGATAGAAATTTGACTATCAAAATTTTAAATGTGCTTATCTTTGATCCATCAATTGTTTTTCAAGGAATTATTTCTAGGAGAAATAGGATAAATGCCCCAAAGTGTTTAAGATGTGTCCATAAAGATAAAGATACATGCCATAAAGTTTATTATAGCAATTTTTTTAAAACCCACCATTGGGAACAGCCCTTATCTAATCTGTAAGGGTTTGGAGAATTATAATGTGTTACCATACAGTCAGTTAAATAATGGTAGAATTACAGGTGATTTTTTTTTTCTTTGTGAGATAAATCAGAGTAGATTTTAGAATTTAAAAACACTTTACTGCCTCCTTGAAAAATCACCTCGTTCCTTGTAAGTCACAGTCTCCTCATTTAAAATCAATATAAGGAGGTATACAGAACTTATTAATATGGTTTTGTACATGTCCTTAATAAGTAGCTGCTCTGATTATTACTACCTCCAAATTTCTCACAGTTAACATTTTTTAGTAATCAGAAATAAAATATTACACTTACATACAGAGTACCTCTCAAAGGTTTGTTACAGACTAGTTCTTAGCATCAGCAGACATAAATTCAGATATTCTGACTCTCTGTGTATTCAGGTAAGTCTCTAAATTTTTTAAATAACCTTATTTGCAAAATGGAGATACCAACCAAAGTGCCAAACTCTGAGGGTTGTTTTGAGGGTCAAATGGGAGGATATTGTAAGTATAAGTAATTTGAAAAAGCAAAGTGCGATACAAACATGTTTAGTGTCAGAACTGCTTTTAAGCATAGTGCTAGATTGTCTGTTACCTAGCACAATGTCTGGAATCTAGTGGTTATACATTTGTTATTTACATGTTTTTGAATTGATAAATTGTGTATTTTTCCTGCATATTTGAAGTTTATGTATAATCCTTTGATCTGCAGATTTTGAGTTTTTCACTTGTTATGATAGAAAAAATAATTATTAAAGTTGGTGTATACTATCGCTCCTTTCTCTTGTTTTAGGAATGGAACATTGCTAAACTTTCAATTGAGTATGATTCTGAGCCCTTTGGGAAGGAACGAGATGCAGCTATTAAGAAACTGGCTACTGAAGCTGGAGTAGAAGTCATTGTACGAATTTCACATACATTATATGACCTAGACAAGTAAGTCTTTTTTATTTTTCATTTTTTTATTGTAGGTAAAATACATATAATATTTGCCATCTTAACCATATTAAAGTTTACAGTTCTGTGATTAAGTACATAGACAAGTAACTTTTAACCACTGGGACTTAAGTTTATAAAATGGAAATAATAACATATATCATAGAGTTGTGGGAGAATTAAATGAACGTATGGCAAATCCTTAGCATTTTTTTCATTTTCTATTTTTAGTTATTATGGACACATAATAGTTGCATATCTTTATAGGGTACATGTGGATGTTTTGATACAGGCATTATTTAGCTGCTGTGATTTTTATTCACCCAGTGACAGGTACCAAAATTATAGCTACAGTGCACAAGATTAAAATACTTAGTATTTCAGTTTCAAAATTATTATTAAGACTATTATAAAATGTTTTCCTTGACTACTCTAATTCATCCTACTGTGGTCTTGCCTTTCTGGGCTTTTAGCATTATTAATTTTATAGTTTTAATGATACATAGCCATAAATTGCCTTGATGTATTTTGATTGTCTTGTTATTTTATTTCATATGTATATATCTTATCTCTCTCTCTCTGGATTTTAAGTCCAGTTGCAGACTGAATGGAACATAACTTTGCATAGCTGTAGTCCTCTGAGCAATGGCATAATACCATATTTCCCAAAGTATATTCCTTGAAACACCAGTCTCTCATAATGCTTTGTCAGATAAAGATTCTGTGGTCAAATTTAAGTTTAGAAAGTATTATGTGCTATGAGTTTTAGAGCTTCATAAAATTTGTTAACTTATTAAAACTGCAAACAGTTGTCCTTATAAGTACTGAAATCTCATCATTTATGTACCTTTTAAATCATTTTACTTTGTTAGTAATTTACATATCTTATCAAGTTAATAAAACTAATTCTTTAAGTAATGTGACAAACTAGTTAATTTTATTTCACATTTCCAAGTGTATCAAAAATAATGGTTTGATTCAGATGATGGCTTTACTTGATATTAACTGGAAATTATAACTCCTTTGTTAATAAACTTGTCTTCTAGTTTACCAGTTTGCTTAACTTTAGGATAGCAAGGAGGAGGCAAAACAGGATAAGAACAGTTGCTTCTCAGTGGGAGACTCAGTGTTATGCATAAAATTAGTGTTTGTTGGATTGAATGTGAATATTTGCCATATATGTCATATTAAAATGTAACATATAGAAAATGTTTTTTTCTAAGGTTTTCATTTTGCTGTTATGTAATTAACAGTCTTCAATAGTATCATTGCAATATCATTACAATCAGTAAAATTTATTATGACCTTATGTATAAATTCAAAATACTACACCAAAGCAAAATTTACTTAAAGCAAAGAGGATAGCTTTTATGGTGATTATAGTTGATACATCATTACACGTGGTATAATGAAAAGGACACTGTATTTGGACTAAGAATACTTTGCTTTGCCATTTGTTGGCTATGTGACTGTAGTTTACTTAATGCTCCTGATAGGCTTCAGTTTCCACATCTATAAAATGATGGGGTTGGATTTCACCTATAATTATTTATTGAGGCCCAAAATGCTAATAAACAAGTAGCCAGAGTGAAAAAGAATAATTAGTTATTCCAAAGTAGTTTCTAATCTAAATTACCATTGGCAAAGCTAGTTATTCCTTTTTTTTTGAAGTATGACTTAATTGAGGCAATTAATGATCATAAGTAAATTTAAAAGGTACTTAAATTTAAATAATTTGAGATGTTAGAGCTTATGTGTCCTAAGTATATGACATAGATACATATGCTGACATCTCTAATGAAGGCATGAGCACAATGGAAAATAGCAAGTAATTGTCACTACAGTTTTGTAGAATCCTAATTAGTGAAACTTGCTGGAGGAAATAAGGAGATGTAGGTCAAAGGATATAAAGTCACAAATATGTGAGATGAACAAACCTAAAAATCTAGTAGTACAACATGAGGACTATAGTTAATAAAATTGTATTATATTTGGGATTTTTGTTAAATAAGTAGATTTTAGCAACTTTTGTCACACACACATAAAAGCAACTATGTGAGATTATAGATATGTTAATTTGTTTCACTATAGTAACCATTTGACCTATGTGTTTCCTATAGCATCATGTAATAAACCTCAAATATACCCAATAAAATATTTTTTAAATAAGACTTGTTGATTACATCTTAATATAATTATCAGCCTGGTTTAGTTTTTATTGATAATTGATAGTTTCTTTGATCTGGGTCATAACATGTTTTTTTACATGTTCATGCATATTAACTTTTTGTTATTGCCTCAGGCTAATTTACCCACTTAGTTGTTTTTACTCCTAAGTCCTTAATATTATTTTGTTTTCTATAGGCAGTGTTCTGTGACCTAAGGTCCTTAATAGTCTTTGTCTTAAAGGTTTGGGTATTTTCATACCATATATTTTTTATACCTAACAGATGGTCTAGAAGATGAAGAGAATGATTTTTGGACTCCTTAATTATTTTGAACACATTTCTGGGTCATATAAGAAGCTAACATTCTCTTAAAAGTCTTAAATGGTTAATTTTATTTTCTGGTTTTAAGCCTTTTCAGGGCTTATGAACCAAAATATATTGTCATTTTTTTTATACTAACTGCATTTTACTAACTCTTAAAATAGGATCATAGAACTCAATGGTGGACAACCGCCTCTAACTTATAAAAGATTCCAGACTCTCATCAGCAAAATGGAACCACTAGAGATACCAGTAGAGACAATTACTTCAGAAGTGATAGAAAAGTGCACAACTCCTCTGTCTGATGACCATGATGAGAAATATGGAGTCCCTTCACTGGAAGAGCTAGGTGAGTGTAAACTGCAATGAGTGTGGAGCTTAAGAGTTAATAAACCGGTAATCACTCAGAAGATTCCACTTCCAATTTTGCCATGTATTTTGCATTAGTAGGGAAAGAAATAAAGGGGACAAAAAGAAGAAAGAAAAGAAACTAAGAAGTGATAAATCTGTACATTATTTATGTGCTCTATAAATATGTGATCTGTTGTTATCACCTTAAGGTATACATACTAAAGAATAGAGATCATGTCATGTCCTCTGTACATGAGGGCCTATTCAGGCCCTCAGTTCATTTTTATGCTACTCTCATAATTTTTCTGCAAAGCCATTTGTTGTCTGAATTTAAAAATTATTTTAGTTTCAGAAGAACGATTTTTTTTCTTTTCTTTTCTTTTTTATCTTTTAGGTTTTGATACAGATGGCTTATCCTCCGCAGTGTGGCCAGGTGGAGAAACTGAAGCACTTACACGTTTGGAAAGGCATTTGGAAAGAAAAGTATGATAATGTTCACCATACAGCCATACTCCTATTCCCCAAATGTCATTTAAAATAATTTCATTATCTTTTAAAAACAAAGAATAGACTGTTGAAAAGGGAGGATCGAGGGAAATAGTAAAAATAGCACAACCCTAATTATTTGAAAATTAACACCTATGTCCTCATTTAAATGCCCTTTCCCCTCCTCTTATTATTTCTTCTTTAGCTACTACCATACTATCTCCTCTGTTCTTTCTACCTAAGCTTGTATCTGATGACCATAACTTTGAAGCTAGGATAGAATTCTTCTATTTCATCTTTACCTCAGTGTTGAAGAGACAGGTCGAAGGTGCTCTCAGCCTTGTGTTGAAAATTTGAAGATAATTTATTTCACATGAGGATAGCCAAAGCAAAAGAATGCTCATTTTTTTATCCTGTCTTTTTTTTTTTTATTCAAACATGTAATTTGTGGCTAAGATAAGATTTTATTCCCTAAGAACTATGTAACTTTTTAAAAATCTCAATTTTGAGCACTCTTTTAAAATGGAAAAGGCAATTAATTAATGTAATTTTCTCTGGTTTTCAGGCTTGGGTGGCAAACTTTGAAAGACCACGAATGAATGCAAATTCCCTCCTTGCAAGCCCTACTGGACTCAGTCCTTATCTCCGATTTGGTTGTTTGTCATGTCGACTATTTTACTTCAAACTAACAGATCTCTACAAAAAGGTATTATCTAAAATTGGAGCTTAAGGCCGGGCGCGGTAGCTTACACCTGTAATCCTAGCATTCTGGGAGGCTGGGATGGGAGGATCACTTGAGGTCAGGAGTTTGAGACCAGCCTGAGCAAGAGTGAGACCCTGTCTCTACAAAAACCAGAAAAATTAGCCGGGCCTGGTGGCATGTGCCTGTAGTCCCAGCTATTGGGGAGACTGAGGCAGGAGAATTGCTTGAGCCCAGGAGTTGAGGTTGCACTGAGCTATGATGATGCCATTGCGCTTTAACCAGGGCAACAAAGTGAGACTCTGTCTCCAAAAAGATAAATAAATAAAAACTTAAAAAATAATAAAATTGGAGCTTAATTTTCAAAATACTTTTAAAGAAATTGCTAATAATACTTCTTTGCTTTTTGATCATAGGTAAAAAAGAACAGTTCCCCTCCTCTTTCTCTTTATGGGCAACTATTATGGCGTGAATTTTTCTATACAGCAGCAACAAATAATCCACGCTTTGATAAAATGGAAGGAAACCCCATCTGTGTTCAGATTCCTTGGGATAAGAATCCTGAGGCTTTAGCCAAATGGGCAGAAGGCCGGACAGGCTTTCCGTGGATTGATGCCATCATGACACAGCTTCGTCAGGAGGGTTGGATTCACCATTTAGCCAGACATGCAGTTGCTTGCTTCCTGACACGAGGTGACCTGTGGATTAGTTGGGAAGAAGGAATGAAGGTAGGTGTTCTGACTAATATAGCATGGTCTTATTTTGAACGAATCTATACTTTATTGAAACAAATCCTAAAAGTTGTCTATTATATAGATTCATTTGTAGTCTAGTTTTTCAGTAGATGAAACATTTAATCCTCAAAATACAGGCACACTTTTGGAGAGCAGGATAGTATAATCAGACAGGAGCAATGGGAAAACTGGTTAAATTGATTAACCTAAAGTCATTTCAGTAGTTAAACCAGCATAGCCATTAAGGGAATTATAAGGTTTAACACTCTGGATTTATTGGATAGATATTTTTATAAGTGATCATTCCTGTCACAAAAAGGATTCACCCAGGAGTTCTTAGAAATAATGAATTCATATTATAAATTTTAAAATAAATAATTTTACCTCACTTCAGTACCACAGCTTTTTTGTAATTCTTCTATTATGAAAAGGGAAGCATGCTACATTTTGTGATATCATCTTATAGTTAAACCTAACAGAACTTACATACATGTTTTACCTTTCTGGCTATATCATGAATTTTCCCTATCCAAGGACTGTTTCTGATCCTGTATTTTTTTTGCATCTCGTATATTCCCTAGTACACAGTTGTACACAGAGAAAAATGTATAGCACACACTTAATGAAAGCACAAAAATCACTTATTTTAATTCTGCTTTCTTTTGGATCAAGGAATTTGAAATTCAAACTATGTAATGCTAGTGCATTTTTTAAAAAGTATATTTGTATCTGGATGTGCTTCCTTTTTCCAGGCCAATGTATTAAGCTTCTAAGTTTTTTTGGTTATTTGGTAGCATTTTTGCTTTCTTGAAAGTAGTTTACTGCATTTTCTCTATCTGCTAATATCCTATCTTACCCTTTCAGTCAGTAACTTGAGTAATTTTTTATCCTTCCTCCCCCAATAACATGGCAAAGGTTGGAACAGTAAATTCTATTCAGAAGTCTACTATATTACCAATATGTTTCTTTCCCTGAAATAGCTCATTATAGAACAGAGCATACACAAGGAAGCTAATTTTGGATTGTTTAATTTTACAGTGCTTTGGTAGATTTTCTTTGCTTTGACTTTTAATCTACAATGACCTCGAAAATGCTTGCTTTGAGAATTATGTGTGTGTAAACTAATTGGTTACTGTTACTTCTGAAGGTATTTGAAGAATTATTGCTTGATGCAGATTGGAGTATAAATGCTGGAAGTTGGATGTGGCTGTCTTGTAGTTCCTTTTTCCAACAGTTTTTTCACTGCTATTGTCCTGCTAGTTTTGGTAGGAGAACAGATCCCAATGGAGACTACATCAGGTAAATCAAGAGTGATTATTATTCAGTTTGGAATAGTTAATCCAAGAAGAACTTTTCATGTTTAAGCAATGCTTAAAGTATTCCCACTCAAGATTGGCAGCAGAAATGAGGAGAAGGGTAAACAGATCATTTAAATGGTATTGATTTGATTTTGGTCACTCATAGCTAGTAGTTCATTATAATTTGCTTATAGTGCATTTTATTAATAATTTTTCTTACTTCTCCCAAAAGGCGTTATTTGCCTGTTCTAAGAGGCTTCCCTGCAAAATATATCTATGATCCCTGGAATGCACCAGAAGGTATCCAAAAAGTAGCCAAATGTTTGATAGGAGTTAATTATCCTAAACCAATGGTGAACCATGCTGAGGCAAGCCGTTTGAATATTGAAAGGATGAAACAGATCTATCAGCAGCTTTCACGATATAGAGGACTAGGTATGTCAGTAACTACCTTTGATTTGTTCCTTTGGCAGCTGTTTACATACCTATCCTTGAATTTGATCTTGATCATAATTTAATAGGAAATTTTCTTGCCCTTTAGGTCTTCTTGCGTCAGTACCTTCTAATCCTAATGGGAACGGAGGCTTCATGGAGTATTCTTCTGCGGAAAATATCCCAGGTTGTAGCAGCAGTGGAAGTAAGTGAAAAGGAAATTTCTGTAATATAAAGAGATTAATAATCAGATACATTGTTTATTGAACCTCGTTGTAATATGTTTTATAAAAATCTATCTTGAAAATTAATAGGTTTTTTGTACACATGCATGCATGTGCACCCACACACAGGTACCCTCACTCAATCAACGACATTTTAGAGATGGAAAATATTACATGTAGTAGATACTGTCAAATTAAAGATCTTGCAGACTGAATGAGGAGAGCAATTTTAAGGATAAATGAAACTCAAATCTCATATTTTCATAATGCTCATTATTTTTTACTCTCTTTTAGATACATATCAGGTGTAAGATACTTAAGGAAGGTCAATGGCCCTGTGAACATGACCAAGAGATTTATCATACACACGCATAGGGGCCTCTAGTCCTTTATACACATGAATTTTTTCTTACAAAGTCTGGTCTGTGATAGTTTTCTGGATGTTATGTGTTTAGTTACCATGTGAATTCTTAATATGTATGATATTAATAATGTCAAGATGTCTTTATGTACTAGGAATTTGAATCAAATCGGTTTCCTGTGGCTCTAATTAAAAATAGCCTGAGGCCAAGTAATTCCATTAACAACAAGGCAGCATTTGAGGAATGCTTACTTAAAAATAAAAAGTCAGATGTTCTAGATTAAGAATAAAATCTTCTAAAAAATTGAACCATTCTGAATTCAGAAATATCCTGTATCCTTATGAGAGCAGCATGTATTTTATCCTCTGAGAGTTAGTTTCAGAAGCAAGGAATAAAAGCACTCACATTCTGACTGCCTTGTGCTCAGTCATAGGGGATTTTTGCCTATATTCTCACAGTAACCTGAGGGTCAGATGGGGGTGGGATCTACATTTTATGATTGGAGAAATAATCCTAGAAAGGTTAGGAAACTTAGCCAAGATCCTACAGTTAATAAGTAGTTGAGCTAAGATTCAGATCCAAGTCTGACTAGCCTCAAAGCTCATACTTTTTCCTGCATCACTGGGCCTTTGCAAATGGAATGCTAGTGTATATATGCGATCAAAGATAAAAGATTTTATTACTGGAATGTGATTCACCCAGCAGTCAAATTTTAATCATTGCCAATGATGGTAGTGTACTTTAGAAATGTTCTTTCTCAGGATCTCCTACAGTCTGAAGTAAACTTCAACCAGCTGTGATTTCAAAAGTTCTTTCAGATCTCCTATTCAGTTCACAGCCTGCCTTGTCAGCCCACACATGAGCGTGAGGGACAGAAGCTCTATGAGGCACTAAAATAACAGGCAGGTAGCAGAGGGATGGCAACCAGCAGGCCCCAGGTGCCTGGCTGATGGACAGCGATGATATGCACTGCTTCTTAGTCCACTCAAACCTGTATCCCTTTATTTGGAATTATCTTCAAAAGCTAATCATGGTAGCAAGTTAAATTGGGATAATTTTGCTTCACAAATTTATAAACATAAGGTAGTTTATGATGTAATAGAAGAATTAATAAATCTTGAAACATTTTAATCGTGTAAGTATTTGCCTGTAACACTTTGTAGCTAGGTTCTGTAAGGCTTTCAAAAGATATAGAAGACATAAAAAGCTACATAGAGCTTACAGTCTAAATGGGGGTGTGGAGGGGCAACAAAAGCAAATGAAAAGAAGTGATAAATTGTAAGATCCTGCCTCCATGTGCAATAGGAGAAAATGGGGAGATCATTGAGAACTGAAGGAACTAGAGAAATTTTCTTGAAGGTGGTGGGTTGGGTAGCATGTGGGTAGCCAGATTAAGGAGAAAACATCTTAGACCTGGAAGTGGGCATAATTATGAAAAGATCCTTAAGACTTGGACTATGCTATTAAGCATTTCTCGCCTCAGGATTCTGCTCCATTTGAAAGGACTCACATGCTTTTAAAGGCCATCTCTTTATACCCTACACTTACCCTGTCTAGGCTTTTATTTTACAGTACCTTACAAAGCACATTAAAGGGCAAAATTCTTTATGACTTTTCTTAGGTTTTTAAAAGACTGTAGAACATTTGTAATCTCTGCAATACAAATCGTATTTTTCTCCTCTCTTTTTTGTGATTTTTTGTGTGTGTGTGTGTGTGCTCAGGAAAGGAATAAGCCACACATAGATATCTTAAAGTACTTTTGTTCTTATAATAAAACAGATCACAATCTGTTTCCTATAGCGATATAATTTTAGTTTTTCTTTAATTTTCAGTTTGTTTTTTTTCTATTATAAAATATCTTTTCATCATCAGCATTATTAGTCATTAGGGAAATGCAAATTAAAACCACTAGGGATAGTACTTTGCTCCCACTTAGGGTGACCAACTACCCCTGATTGCCTGGGATTAAGGGGTTTCCTGGAACACAGAATTTTTATTGCTATAGCCTGGAAAGTCCAGGCAGACTGGGGCTAGTTGATCACCCTATACCCACTAGAGTAGCTGAAATAAAAAAGGCAACACCAAGTGTTGTGGAGGATAGGGAAAAACTAAATCCCTTATACATTGCTGAGAGGTGGGGTATAAAATATAAAATAGTACAGCCACTTTGGAAAACAGTTTGCCAGTTTCTTAAAAAGCTAGACATAAATTTACTACACAACCCAGAAATTCCATTCCTAAGTATCTACCGAAAAGAAATGAAAACAAGGGCGGGCTCAGTGGCTCACACCTGTAATCCTAGCACTCTGGGAGGCCAAGACAGGAGGATTGCTTGGGCTCCGGAGTTCAGACCAGCCTGAGCAAAATCAAGATTCTGTCTCTACTAAAAGAAGAAAAATTAGCCAGGCATTGTGGTGTGCACCTGTAGTCCCAGCTACTCGGAAGGCTGAGGCAGGAGGATCCTTGAGCCCATGAGTTTGAGGTTGCAGTGGGCTACAATGATGCTAGCACACTCTAGCCAGGGTGACAGAGCAAGACTCTGTCTAAAAAAGAAAAAAAAAAAAAAAACATATGTCCACGCAAAGATGTATAAATGAATGTTTATAGCAGCTTTATGTATAATAGTAAAAATGTAATATAACCATACAATGGAATGTTATTCATGAAAAAGAACAAAATGCTGATATATGCCACAACATGTATGAACCTCAAGCCCATTATGTTAAGTTAAAGAAGGCAGACACAAAAGACCACATACTGCATGATTCCATTTATGTGAACTATCAGAAAAGGCAAATCTTTAAAGACAAAGTAGATTAGTGATTACCTTGGGTCTAGGGGTAAGAATGGAGAATGAATGTATATGGGCGTGAGGGATATTTTTGGAGGGGATGGAAATGTTCCAGAACTGGATTGTGGTGATGGTTACATAACACTATAAGTTAACTTAAAAAAATCATTGAATTGTGCCTTAAAATAGGTGAATTTTATGACATATGAGTTATACCTCAAAGGTGCTTTAAAAAAAAAACCATTCACTATAGAGAATTTTTTAAAACTCAGAAAATAGAAAAGAGGAAGAACAAAAATCCAACAGAGATAGTCACTATTAAAATTTTGGTGTATTTCCTTTCAGTATATTTTTATGCAGTTTTTCCCCCACATTAATTTTTAAGTCAGAATTGTGTAAGTGAAAAATTCTTTCAGTGCTATTGAAGGCATAACATGAGGGGACTTCTCAAAACTTTTTTAAAAACAAGAACTGCTTTTAAAAACAAAAAAGGTATTTTCACTCTATGGTTCCCATCTTGTACAACTCTTGACATTTTGAAATTTAACTGCTGTAATAACTCTGAAGACATATGAATATGGGGATTTTCATTTTGGTGAGTGACTAAGCTAATAACAAGCCAATTGATCAGCAAAGCTTTGTTCTATACTCACTGTCTCTTGCAGTGTTATTCCCATGAAGATATAATTTACTACATTTCATAGGCTATAGTGGTATTCATGAATTTAGGGAGTTGGAAGATCTTGAGTAGTTATCATGTAGCTCTCTAAAGAAATAAAATACTGTCTTAAGAAAATTCTCAATTATGTATTGGGCATATTAATTTCTCCCCTCCTCCCCAAAGGTAATCACTCTCCTGATTCCTAATACTGTAGTTTGTTTTGTACCTTTATAGAAATTGAATCGTTTAGTCTGTATTCTTTTTTGTGTCTAGTTGCTTTCACTCCATATTTTGAAATCATTCTATTTGTTTATATATGTTCACTCCATATTTTGAAATCATTCTATTTGTTTATATATGTATGTACACTCCAAAGGGGTCAGAGTGGGCCTACATCCAAGCAGACAGTGGCCATTCTCATTTTTAAACTTATTACTGGAAGAAGGAATAGAATTGAACTTGAGAAAATAAAACTAAGGTGACTAGTTTATGACTTATCCTAAGGGCCACCTCTGTGAATCTTCCAGTAAAATGGACTGTTCCTTCCTTAGAGGCCCCACTGTGTCCTGCACCAACATGCATCCCAATACCTGACAACGCTGCTTTGCACATTGTGATTTTATCTATCTATCTCCTCCTACTGGGCTGTGAACCCCTTTAAGGCAGACCCCATGTCTTAGTAGTATTTGTATCCTTAGTAGCTGGTATAGTCCCTAGCATAAAAAGGCACTCAGCAAAGGTGTAGGATATAAATAAATAAAATAATAAAATGTGTATAAATGAATATGATAATTAAAAATGTTATTTGTTGACTTACTGTGATAACAATATAAATGACATAAAACAATTTTAAACATTTTTAAGTGTACAGTTCAGTGTCATTAAGTACATTCACATAATTGCTTGGATTTTTAAATAGTGTTATACAGTACTCAGGGGAGGCCCTACTGATGGTAAGACCAGGAATAGCACCATTCAATGGTGAATTTGCCCATGGTGCAGAGTCTGCCCTTCAGGCTTACAGGTCCAAAAACTGAATGTTTTCAGTAATTAGAGATGAACATTCTGTGAATGACAGACTAGAAATTTTAAGATAATGTGAATTAAAGTATCAATAGGCAATACCAGTTTATTTATTTATGGTGGAGATATCCCTTTCTAATGATGGATGGTCTCCTCCCTGATCCAGGGCATCTACTTTCCCAATTTTGAGTACCTAAAAAAGCTGAATTCTTTTATCCAGAGAAATCTGATGAGCACAAAATTAAAATAAAAATAAGCACATAGGCTTGCTCAGGCCATAAGGTAACCTATCCAGGGGCCAGAATTCTCATATTTTTCTATAATCTGGACACACTGACAAAAGTGGTTCTCTAAAACTTTTCTATGTTAGCCAACCTATTCTCCTGTAACATTGTTTGGTTTTAGAAGGATTGATGTAATTGCTCGGGCTAGGTAACTGCCACAAAGTCCTATGTCTTCCCCTTGTGTCATTTGAATTGTTTAACTCATCTGGCAGGCCCTCATTCCCTTATCTCCAAGGAAGTATGTTTTGAAGGGTTCAAAAGGAGGATTGTGGAAGAATGGGACAAGAGTGAAGGAAGGATTTCTGTCTCACTGTTGCCCCAGTGTTTTGCCTTTATCATCAAGTTTCTAATTGTAATCTAGTAAGAAATTTTTTTTTTTTTTAGAAAACAATTATCACTGATTGTTCCTTTGAACTGTCAACATTCCTATGAGCCTAAATTTAAGTTTTATAGATTTGAGCATGTGATTTTTGGTTCATAGGAAGGTTGAGATTTAGTCTTAAATGCATATAAAAGTGACCTTAAATACTGAAAATTGGATTTTTAGTCTTAATATTTACATCTTAGATTTGGTTTTCAGTAATTTTACTATGTTTTAAATACTAACAGATTGCTCTCAAGGAAGTGGTATTTTACATTATGCTCATGGCGACAGTCAGCAGACTCACCTATTGAAGCAAGGTAAGAATGAAACATTTGAGCATACTGCTCTCACTTTTCCTATCTTAAGCATACTTTTTTTTTGTTTGTTTGTTTGTTTTGGAGACGAGGTTTCTCTCTGTTGCCCAGGCTAGAGTGCATTGGCATAATCACTGCTCACTGCAACCTCAAGCTCCTGGGCTCAGGTGATCCTCCCGTCTCAGCCTCTCAGAGTGCTAGGATTACAGGCATGAGCCACGGTGCTTGGCCTTAAATGTACATTTTTAAATGTGTAGGAAGAAGCTCCATGGGCACTGGTCTCAGCGGTGGGAAACGCCCTAGTCAGGAAGAGGACACGCAGAGTATTGGTCCTAAAGTCCAGAGACAGAGCACAAATTAGGTAAATATTTTAGAGCTTTATTTCTTGTTTTAGTAGAGTGTATAATTAACATAAATTAAGATAATTTCCAAAGTGGAACTCATCTCTATTTTCAAACCAGAGAATCTTAAGGCATAAATTTGTAAGTGATTGTTACAGAATCAGTCAATTTTTGGACAAGAGAGATCCATGTGTACTGGACAAATTGCTGCACCCAGTTTTATGGTCATCTGAATTGATGCTCTTTAAATCTGAAAAACTTAAGATTTTATGGTCAAATTTTTCATTTCTTTACTATGTGATCATGAGTCTAAAGCAATTAAAGTGGTCCTTTTTATTTTAGTGGCATTAATATAATCTTTTTATGAACTTTCCCCCAAACCTTTGCCTCTTAAATGTTTACAGATTTCTTTTGTTTGTTGTGATGCTTCTAAACTCTAAATTCTTTCCAGTCTGGAGTAGTTTAAATTTTTTAAAATGCTGGGCTTTTATAGAAGTATCAAAAAGCCATGACTGCATTCAGTTTAATTGGATTTGGGATGCTGTTTTATGATTAAATTAATACGAAAAGTATTTATATAGTATATTTACCAGTTTTTAAAAACTTTGTTTCTTCAGTTATCTTAAACTGTTTACATTTTTATCACTTAGTTTTTTATGCCAATCTAATTAGACTATAAATATCTTGAAGATCAATAAACACTCATCAAATTTTTATCATTTAATTCTTTGCAATCAAGCTTTACTCAGTTTTTTTTCCCTTAAATCACAGAAAACATTCAGGAGGAATACTGTTGCAGCTGAAATTGGTGGGGAGTTCAATACTTTTCAATTAAATTATTTTAAAATGTTCTTCATTGATGGAAAGCAGTTACATTTTGAAACGTGTTGTTTCTAATGACATTTCTGTGGTTTTTAACTTTTTAATGAATTTCACATAGGACAAATGGTAATTTGTATATAAAGAACTTGGTAAAAGAATTTGCTTAATGTAAATATAAATAGTTACGATTAGTATAGACCCATCAATATATTTTTGATAATTTTTCATGTATGGTAAAATGTTAACAAACTGATATTCTGATATAAAACTCAAAGTTTTGAGAGTCAATGTGGGCAAACAGGAGGTTTTTAGACTTTCTTAAGAGACTTTGTTAAAATTTTAGGACAAAATTTTCTTGACGTTGTTTGATCTAACTTTGTACTCTTTGATAATAATGTTTTAGAAAATGTGCATAATCAAAACTAGTAGTTGTAGCCTCTGTTAACACAAATATGTTTTAAAGCATCATGTATACCAGTTTTGACTCAAACATACAGAAGATCATGTGTTAAGTTCTCTTTGTCTCCCTTTCTTTGTTCATTTACAGTTAAAGTGACCTTGTTATTAAAGTATATGCAAATATGAAATCTTGTTTAATTTGAGTTTTTTTTTTCTTTTTTGATTTTGGTAAGGAGGAGACCATCGCTATCTGAGGTATGATTACAAATTACAGAGATAGATTCTGTAAATTCTGTAAACCACATATCATTTTGAACAAAGGGACAGCTACCATATATTTAGTAAAACAGTAGTTTTCAAAATTATCTGCAAGAAAGATTTAAAACCAAAGGGAATTTTTCATGTAATGGCACTTGTAACTATGAGTTAGGCAGTATGGGATAACAGGTAAGAGTGTGGGCTCTGGAGTCAAATGCCTGGCTCTGGCACTCATTAGCTTTGGGATCTTGGGCAAGTACTTAACTTCCTTCTATGCCTTCTTTTTTCTCATCTATAAAATGGGGATGAGCCTAGTACCTGCTCCACAGTCCAGTTCGTTGTAAAATGCTCATAGCAGTGCGTGGCATGTGGTAGGATACTCAATAAATGTTAGCTACGGGGCTAACATGCTGCATCGCTCCCTGGAGTGTACAGCGCACAGCCTGCATAGCTGTAAGCCACAGCTCTGATTAACAGCCATTATTGTTAATACTATTGTTATTACTCCTTTACTGTTTTCTACTTAGGCTAGTTCTTGCCACTCTGAATTATAACCAGTGGCTTTTCATTTTCTCATTTTCAATAGTGGTAGATATTCAATATTCTAATTCTATTTAAAGGTAACTAAAGATAAATTTGAGGCAAAAATGCAGAAACAAATAACATATTTTAGATGATAATGCATTTTAAAAATAGCCTGGATAATGAATTAGCAATGATCAATAAATTCCATTACTGAGAAAAAGGAAAAGCCTGTGCCTTATCTTTGTTTTTTCACCATTATTAAAAAGGAGTAATATTTTAATTGTTTTTCATGATACCTGTACTTCACACCCTGCTCTTTGTCCTGATTGTGCTGTACAGAGGTGAGAAATTCATAGATCTGGGATTTACCATCACCATCCCAGGGGGCAAAGTTTCCATTTTAATGCAAATAAATAAGCATTGCTGGAAAAGTACATTCTTTCAGCATATGCACTGGTATGTTATAAATGTAGAAGGATTTTGTTTTGTTTTTTGGGGGGAGTTTTTTAGAAAGCTTTTTCAGTTTCGTCTAAATTATGGTCAAAATGAATCACTGAAAGGGAAACGGAGGTATCAATGTGCTCCCCTTGAGCAGATGCACTAAGTTTGAATACAGTATTCTTCCCCTTACTAGAGAGGTTAATGTTCTAGAAATTCTACTCGTGGTTGAGGGATTTAAGACCTTTTATTCATTCAACAAATACTTACCGAATTCTTATTACCAAAAACTGTGGTGACAACTTGGAAAAATTGAATTGAGGGACCCAAGCTTTTGAATGAACCTATGCAAAGTCCTTATGTTTTTTACATTTGCTTAAAATAAATGAGTAAATCTAAGATATAAAAGAGTTATTTCTACCTTTTTTCTTATGGGGTAGTGACATTTTATCAGGGGCAAAGCGACTGGAACTCCAAATTTCCTAAAATGCTGGGAAAGAGAGGGTGTGAAAATGCCAGCTTACTTACAACCCTTGTTGCCATTGGGCGCGGCACGCGGTTCCCTGGAAAGCCGGTTGCCACGCTGTCCCGCCTCTTCTGCCCCGCCCCTGCGTCTTGGGGAGGGTCACGCAGCCGGTGTCCCGCGCTCTGACTGGTTGCGTTTGGGGCCGCGGGGGCGTATCTGTGGGCCCACCGGCCTCCCGAGCCCTGATTGGCTATGGGCGAAGGGGCAGGTGGCCTGGTCGGGGCTTCTTGGGGAAGTCGCTAGCTAGCGGGTTGGGGCCCCGCCCCAGGCATCGGGAAGACAGCGGACCTCGAGGAGACTGGCCCGGGAGGGAGGGAGGGAGGAAGGAACCGGGGCCCCTGGACTCCCTGCGCCTTGCTTGGAGCGGACGCCGATAGGTAAGTCGCTCCTTCCTCTGCTCCTGGAGGTGATCCTCACACCAACAACACAGCAGCAGGGTCCGGATCCGCCTACAGCGAAACTCGAAACTCGATGCCCCGCCAGACCCTCAACTCCGCCTGCCTGACTTGGGCAGACACCGGGCGCCGCGGGCCGAAAGTTTCTTCAAAAAAGCAGAGGTCCCGCTTGTCACTATGCGGCCTTTTGATCGGTCCCAGAGATCCTCTTCCTTGGACCCTCGTTTTCCCTTGCTTAAAAACATTGGGATTAATTTGGAACTGTCAGCAGATCATATGTGTTATAAAAGTACAGTTTTATTGAAAATAGTGGTGTTGTAGAGGGGACCGTACTAAGTATAAAAATTGTGCTTATTACAGAGTGAATTTCATTCCTAAAAATGCTTAAGAAACATGAAACGTCAGAGAAAGACACACACTGTGATTTAACAAGTATTGATCAAGAGCGTTACTATATGTAGGCGACAGGGCTAAGAGCAGGACTCTGGGGTCAAGGTGTTGGGTTTGAATCCAAAGTCTGCTGTTTATTAGCTGAGCAACCTTGGGCAAGCTACTTTACCTGCATCTGTTTCCTCATCTTGAAAATGAGTCATTGTGATGATTTAATGAGTTAGTATACGTGAAGAGTTTTCTAAGTGTTCTAAATGATTTTTGGTATTAACTCATTTAATCTTCACAATCACCCAGGAGATACTGTCCCCATTTTCCTGATGCCCAAACTGAGGCAGGGAGAGGTGAAGTAACTTCCTCGGTCATAACACAACTATTGACCAGGAATTAAGCCCAGCCAGTGTGGCTCCAAGATCCCACAATTGCAGTCACTACATTAAGTTATCTCATGAACTTGGTTTGTTCCTTCAGTTTCAGTCTCAGAAATCAAATACTGATTTTGTTACTCTGTGGACCAAGTTCTTTGCTGAGTACAGAGGATAAAGCGGAACAGCATTCAGTTTCTGCCCTCCTAGTGCTTGTCAATCTAGTACAGGTTGTTCATGGCTGGGCTGCGGGGTGTCCACAGATCCTGCTAAAATCATTTGCAAAATGTGGGCATGTGTCTTTTTTCCTGGAAAGAGTTTGTGGCTCTCAGGTTCTCAGATGGTCTGTTATACAAAGAAAAGTGTGAAGAAGTGTGGTTTCAGCAGAAGAGCTAATGCCTACCTACCATGATGCCAGACGCACACCTTGAGCTTAAAAAAAAAAGATCCTTGTGGTTGAGTGAATGAAGAACTTATAAGAGTATGATAAGTGCTACAGTAGGGTCAAGAGCAGGGTGCTGTAGAAGAGCACACAGAAAGGTCACCAGCGATGCCAGCTGGGTGAAGGGTGGGGAAGCAATTCACTGGAACACTGTGGTGAACTGTCTCTGCCCTTGTGGGGTGTTGAGACAGAAACAACACATGAACAGCTGCAGCTGTTGTACCACCTGTGCATGACAAATGTAGCAGTCCATGGTGCCATGAAAGCCCATAATGTCCAGGAGGTTTCATTTATTCATGAAGGTAAGGGAAGTTTCCTTGAGAAAGTGACACTTAGACATAGAAGTTAGGGGCATTTTGGGCATGGAGAATAGCCCAATCTTCACAGACCATGTGGTAGGAACTGCTAGAGCACCAGGAACTGAAAGGAAGTGGATGAGCTGGTGTAGCAGAGAGAGATGGGGTTTGGGTGGTGGCAGAGCCCAAAGAGAACTTGTAGGCCATGGTAAGGCATTTTTATGTTTTATTTTGTTTTTATCCTAAAATGCCATTGGAAAGTTTATTGCAAGGAGATGACAAGATCACATTTGAGAAGAAGCTCGAGAGAATCCCAAGTGTGTTAACTGAGGCCCTGGACAAGGACAAGATTTCTGGAGAGAGATTTTAAGGTAAGAAGAGGACCTGCAGGGCAGACAGATAAAGGGTGGAAGGAGGAGAACCAGGAGAGTAGAGTGTCCTAGAAGTCAAATGAGAGAAATTTCAAGGAGCAAGTGGTCAACTGTACTGAAAGCTACAGAGGTGAAAGGAGATAGGAACTAAAACTACCCATTAGCTCTAACCACATGGAAGTTATCTTTGTTGGGAGCTATATAAGTAGGAGGAGAAGAAATGGAGAGAAAGAAGGGTCTGCAAGAATTAGCTGAGGGAAGAGAAAGATGGGGTTTAGCTGGAGAGGCAGTGAGAGGAAGAGCCGTAGCAGTGAAGGGTGGAGCATCAGAGGATACAGCTGAAGGAGCGCATGCCTGAGAAAGAAGAGCTTAGAGTTCTCAGGCCAGGGTGGTTGGGCTCAGCACAGGAGCAGGGATTACCCTGGATAATGAAAGGGTAACTGTAGGGAAGGGGAGATAGTGGTAGGTGTGTTGGTGTGGTTGATGAGTTGCTCTCCTTTCTTTGTACAGATAAGAGGCAAAGGCATTGATTGAGAGTTAAGAAGGGAACGGGGACATGGGGAAGGCTGGAGGTGAGCTCAGAAGATTTGAGAGTGGGAGGTGTGCAAGAGTGAGTTGACCAGAGCTTGTTTGAGGTCTGGCAGAGAGAGCCAAGTATGCAGCAAAGACCAGAAATGAGCCTTCTGGCCCTTTCAGGGAATTGCAAAATAGGGGGATGAGGATGGAGCCTAGCTAGAGACAAAAGCTACATTTCATACATGGTAAAAGAAGCATCCTAGATCATGGGGAAGGAAAGGATGTTCAAAAAATGATACTCTGTGATAACTGTTGCTAAAATCTGTTTAGATTCTCAGCTCATACCTAGAAATTTCAAATTAACTAAAGGAGCTTACTTTTAAAAACCAAACAAAAATATGGATGAATATTTACTAATCATTTGGTGCTGAAAAGCAGTAGGAATCATAAAGCAAAGGGAAACTTCCCTGACCTTCCTTTAACTACTTAAAATTAACCACTTTGTTCTGACACATGCTATAATATGGATTAACTTTGAAAACATTATGCTAAGTGAAATATGCCAGACACAAAGTATGATTCCACTTATAGGAAGCACCCAGAATAGGCAACTTCATAGAGACAGAAAGTAGAACAGAGGTAACTGGTGGCTGGAGGGAAGAGGAAATGGAGAGTTATTGTTTAATGGGTACAAGGTTTGTGTTTGGGATGATGAAAAGTTCTGGAAATAGGTAGTGGTAATGGTTGTACAACATTGTGAATACACTCAGTGCCATGGAACTGTACACTTGAAAATGGTTAAAATGGTAAGTTTTTTGTTATTTATATCTTACCACAGTTTTTTAAAAGTGACTTCTTTGGTATGCTAAAATATACCATCAACAACTGAAAATATTTCCAAAAATGAGAAGATTGTATTTCTTAACGTATGAAGAATTTAAACAAGTCAGTTTTTAAAGAGCTGAAAGATTGCAGTTTAAAAAGGCAAAAGGTGGGAATAGCTAATTCAGAAAAGGAAATAAAGATGGTCAAGATAATTTATTAAGAAAAGCTCAGCCTCAGGAATAATAAAGGAAAATAAATTAGTGTTGTATCATTTTCACATATCAAAATGAAAACTGATGAATCAGCCACACTGCTTGTGAGAATGTCAGCTGAAACAGTTTTTCTTGACATTAAATTTAGCAACTTGGCTTTTTAAATGTTCACACATTTCATCTTCAGGAATTCTATGTCTAGGAATTCATCCTAAAGGAAAAACATGAAACATGGACAAATATTCAGCACACAGGAATGAATTACAAAACTGTAGTATATCCACCCACATACCAACATTTTAAGTGTTCACAGAGCATATGTAATGCCATAGTTAGATACTTAGTGTTTAAAATAAAAGAAGAAAATAAATTGTATATATAAAGTGCATTCATTATGTAGAAGTCAAAACATTGTAAAAGCTTTTCACTTTTACAGTCAACTGTGTTTGCTCATCAGAGAGACAGAGCAATTGTTCAGACAACTCACCTGAACACATCATAGTTCACCTTGGAGTAAGCAGGAAATGGGAGACAGCCTGCTTTTCTCTTAGCCTCATTGGGCGGGAGCCTCTCTTGTCAGTGGGAGTACCTTGCTATGGTCAATGTATTTCTAATGTTTAATGATTCGTCATTTTCTTTAACTCCCAGACCAAGCCAACTACTTCATCTAGTGCTTATCCAGACAACAGGATCTGTTCCAGCCCTTGAGGAACTCCTGGCTGTGTCGGACTTGCTGGGATACAGTGTTAGTGTCCTGTGTGGTGCCTGCTTAAGACATTTTCAAGGAAAATTCTTAGTTTTTATAATTTTCACTTTATAGGCTGAATTCAGAACCTAAGTCCATGTGCAAAGCAGCCTTGCTTTATGTATTCTTTATGTCAAAATATGAATTGTCTGTAGGTGGTGGGATTGTGAAAATCTTTTTCTGCTTCCTTATACTTTTCAGAATTTGGCAACTTCTCTGTAATGACTGTGTTGCTTTTATAAGCAGTTATTTTGGAAGACAGAAGCATTTAAAATATGTTTTTTACTTTTCAGTTACTCTTTGTAAATAATATACTTCTGTCTAAAATACAATATAAAGCCATATTACTATAAGACTTTTAGCTCTAGAAATTTCCTAGTAATGGCTACCATTTATTGAGTACCTCCTATATACCAGGCACTGTGCAAAGTACTTGACATGCATTTGAACTCTCACCTGTAAGGGTTAGATGCTATTCTCTCCATTTTACAGATAGGTGCTATTATTATTAATGCTCATTGAACATTTATGGTGAGGCACTGTTCTAATCACTGTTACCTTGTTTTATCTGAGGCTAGCCAACTGACCCAAGATTACCCTGTAAGTTAGAACCAGGACTGGGCATAGGCAGTTTTGCTGCAGAGCCCACAGTCCTCCCCAGCATGTGGTACAGACGTGGGACCTGAGCTTGGGGATGTCGCACAGTGAGTGGGGAGTGGGGTCCCAGCCTAGATCTGCCTGTGCTTCATCATTATGCTGTACCTCCTCCTCCATGTTAAAACTGATGGTTGACCCAGACATTTTAAAAAATACTTTAAGCCAGGCATGGTGGCTCATGTCTGTAGTCCCAGCTACTCAGGAGGCTGAGGCAGGAGGATCTCTTGAGTCTAGGAGTTCAAGGCTGCAGTGACCTATGATTGCACTGCAATACAGCCTGGGTGACAGAGCGAGACCCTGTCTCTTAAAAAAAAAAAGTTTTTTTAAATAAAAATACTTTAATATTTTCATCTTAGCTAATAGTATTAGGAATTATCTGAAGAAAACTCTAGTTGAACGACAAAAACAAAAGCTGTGCCAACAATTATTTGTCTCCATAAGCACTAAAAATGAGCTATCATCACAAATGGTGAACCAAAATGGGGGTGGTGGTCTTTACTTTTCCTAATCAAATAATCATTTATTTGGATTAATTAGGACAGGCCTGAACGTGAAGAGTCCTCCACATATATAGCAGGAGAATTATCAGAGGCAGGGATTCAAGATGGCTTTTCTTTCAAACCCACAAAGAATAAGGGAAAGCTGCTAACTAGCTAAGTAGCCCAGTACTACACTTTTGTGGCAGGACTGAGGCACTTATGAACACTGCAGGGTACTAAAAGTTAAACAAACAAACTAGGTGTGTTTTCATTACCAGAGACAAAAAAAATATAGTCAAAGGAGTTAAAAATATACCACTGTGATGTATTGACTGTTTTGAATTAAAGGCACTTGAAAAACGGTAGGTGTAAGATCATTCTAACCTTTCTGTTTCTTAAAAGCAGGAGATGAAATTTTCATGTGAAAGACACCTTCCCTACACCAAAAGGATTAACATCCTTATCCTCAAGGACTAGAAGTCAAGACTGCAAGAATTCTGTGCAGACCTTGTTAAAATAATTTCTTTTGAGCCTCACCCACATAGTTTAGTTGCCTCTTCACAACTTAACTATCCTTTGTCCAATTTAGTATATCAGTAACTGACTCTAACTGCTTCTTTGGGTCTTTATTTCCTTATGAAGGCTCCCATGCCACATAAATTTTATTAAATAAATTTTATGCTTTTCTCCTGTTAATCTATCTTATTCAGTTTAATTCTCAGGCCCAGGTGGGACTTTAAAAAAACAGAGGTGGAGTATTACTGCCAAAGTGTCAAAGGCTATACTGCATCAGACACAGTATAGCCATCTCACAATACCCAGAGATGTCAAGTGGGGATATCTGGTTAGACTGTTTTAAAAGTATGGTCACCATTCCACAACTGACCTGATTTTCCATGGCTCTGTTGGAGCAAGTCACATGGCATTTCTCAGTTTACCTGGCTAAGACTTATTTTAATTCTGGATTTATAAAAAGGAGTTCCATTCACATAATTCTTTAAAAAAATACATATACACACATACACACACACACTCAAAATAACTGGCCCATTTTGGGTGATAGTTACTCAGCAAAAAATATATACTCTAAAGTATAAAATCAGGCCTATCATGGTGGCTCATGCCTATAATCCCAGCACTTTGGAGGGCCCCGGTGGGAGGATCGCTTGAGGCAAAGAGTTCAAGACCAGCCTGAGCGATGTGGTGAAACCCAGTCTGTACAAAGAATTTAAAAATTAATTGGATGGGGTGGTACATGCCAATAGGCTTAGCCACTCAGGAGCCTGAAGCAAGAGGATCACTTGAGCCCAGGAGTTTGAAGCTGCAGTGAGCCTGATGACACCACTGCACTCTAGCCTGGGCAACAAAGTGAAACCCCATCTCAAAAAAATAAAAAAAATAAAATTAGAGATGACTCCCCTGCCCTTTTCTTAATAAGTACCTGCTTCATCTAAACAACTTGAAAATGTAAAACATTTCAAAAAACTGTTTGTGTATATATATGTCTCCTAAAAGGAAATGACAGTTGTAGGAAAATGAATTTGTATCAAAATAACATTTGAGGTCTGTGAAGCACTGAACTCTTGTGGTCTTGCTGTTGGTCTGCAAAATGGAAGTAAGTACCTCACAAGGTTGTCGCAAAGCTCAGACAGACAATGTATAAAGTATAAGATGTGTAAGTCATGAAGAGGTGTATTACAATCAAACTATTTAAGAGGATATTTTTAATATTCCACATGAGTAGTTTTCCTATCTAAGTCCATTTTATTTTCGTACTTAAACAGCTCAAAGTTTAAGTGTATGTGTTCTAAAGTCAACACCCTTACTTATCAAACGCCTTTGTTTTCTTTCTTACAATGAGTACATTTTGAGTCCAGGACAGTGTTAGCCAATGGGTTGCAGGCATACTGTGGAAGTTGCTGATAAGATCCCAGCCCTGCAGGCTGTGTTCTTTCAGAAAGATGTGATCAACTCTAAAATACAGACCTTTTTTAGCATGCTTCTCCTATACAACTGGTAGTCAAAGAAAATAAAGAGAACGGTGGAAAACTTTAGAAATTTTCAGTTGACATTAGGAAAATTCGTAGATTAAAAGAATGGGCACTTTTAGTGGATGAAAATCCTATGTTGAAGAAATTGCAAATGTTTTACGAGACTGCTGTAGCCAGTGTTTTGGAATGCTGTCTGGAAACGATTGTCTGTAGTCCAACTGCTGTTAACACCCAGAGAAAACTCTGGCAGTTTGTCTGCAAAAACGAGCAAGAGTTAATCAAGTTAAATAGAAAAGTTTCCAGAATCTTTCTTTCCTGTTAAAGACCAAGAGAACTGGAAGCTGAATGTTCAGTTCTTTCAAGAGTTGGGACTCAAGAATGTGGTCATTAGCGGATTTTTGACAACTGCATCTAATATTTTTTATAATATTAATTATGAAATTAATTCACAATATTCTTCTTGTTAAGAAGAATAAGCAGATGATAATTCTCCAAGAGAGTTATCTAAATGTAGGTGGCTCTGAGGCCAACATGAAAGTTCGGCTAACTAAAATTAATAAGCCAAAATTAAATTCTCCTGCAGCTATAAAGGAAACACTAGGATTTCTCCAAGAGCAAGGTTTCTCAAACTTTGAAATTCTCCACCTTCTGTCCAAACTCAAAGGATTTCTTTTTCAACTTTGCCCCAGAAGTATATAGAACAGTATTTCCTTCTCTAAAAATACTTTTTTAAATGCACAGATCATGAGCTGAAGCAATTTGTTTTGAAATGTCTTGCCCTTTTATATTATTCTGTTCCAGTTTTAGAAGAGAGAATGCAGGGATTATTGAAAGAAGGAATTTCCATAACCCAGGTAAGAGAGATGCCAATGGTTCTTGAATTAACGCCACATATAGTACAGTACAGGATAAGGAAACTGAATTCCTTAGGCTACAGAGTAGCAGTGGTCCTCAACCTTTTGGCACTAGGGACCGGTTTCATGGAAGACAATTTTTCCATGGACAGTTGGGGGAGGTGGAGCTCAGGCAGCTGTAAATACAGGTGAAGCTTTGCTGGCTTACCCACTGCTCACCTCCTGCTGTGCACCCCCTCCTCCCCTAAGTTTCATGGAAGACAATTTTTCCATGGACAGGGGTGGGGGGGCAGCAGAGTTCTGTGACCGGTCCCTAACAGACTGCGGACCAGAGATTGGGGACCACAGCAGTAAAGGATGGACATCTAGCAAATCTAAATGGATCAAAAAAGGAGTTTTTGAGTTTGATGCTAAAATTCAAGCCAAAGAAGGAAGGCCATTATTTAACCCTGTGGCACCATTAAATGTTGAAGAGTGACTTACTAATATCCTTTCTAGGAGGGCACAGTGAAACTGGCTAACGAAGACTTATTCAATTCAGGCAGTTTATAGGCACCAGTAATTTTAAGGACCTGCTTACCTTCTGAGTTATGTTTAAGTTACCTCTAAATAGATAATCCCTGACTCATTTGCTATATTTTAAAATATAAATTGCATTTATTTTAAATAAAGTTTGTAACTGTGACCTTAAACTATTATTTCAAAAACTTGTGTACTATTAAATGGCACATCAGTATGATATTTTATAAGTGAATCATGTCTAAGAAACTGACAAGTACTCCCTTAACTCAAAATAGGGATATATTTTTATTCATAATAGGACATTTCATCCAGGATGCAAATCCAGTCTTCCTCACTGCCATCCCTGAAACATCACTCTATGTGTTCTGAATTCTGTAGCTTTGTGTTAAGTGAAATACTAGCAAACTTCTATCCTTTTTTTTTTGGAGAAAACTAATTTCATCTTGTATTTGGAGTAAATGAATATCTTTGGGAACCAAGTATTACTTATCCAAAAAGAATAGTTAGAGCCTACTTGTGTGGTCAGTTTGTTTAAAATTGACTATTATATCTCTCATGAAACACTTATGTGCATTCATTACTTTCCTCATTTTACTGATGAGGAAACTGAAGCGTGGAGAGGCCATTTAGTTGCTAAGTAGCAGAGCCCAGATTTATTAAGATCCGACTTCTGTTCAAACCTTGTGAATAGAAAGGATTACTTGAGTTGGCATAAAAGAAGTCACCCCTACCTGACATGCCAAAAGAAATTAGTACTAACAACAAGTTTGGGGACCTTTATGCAAACTTCTCTGTAAAGTTTCTTAACTTAGAAATTACTTAATTTATGCACATTTGCAATAAATGCAGCTTTGCAGAAAGCTTTTTGAAAATTCAGGTCTGCCTATGAGGGAAACTGTGTGATGGTTGGTACTAATTTCAGGGGTGGTGTTTCTCAATCTAAAATAAATATTGTCCAAGCTGGGCGCGGTGGCTCACGCCTGTAATCCTAGCACTCCGGGAGGCTGAGGCAGGTGGATTGTTTGAGCTCAGGAGTTTGAGACCAGCCTGAGCAAGAGCAAGATCCCGTCTCTACTAAAAAAAATAGAAATTATCTGGACTACTAAAAATATATAGAAAAAATTAGCCGGGCATGGTGGCGCATGCCTGTGGTCCCAGCTGCTCGGGAGGCTGAGGCAGAAGGATCACTTGAGCCCAGGAGTTTGAGGTTGCTGTGAGCTAGGCTGACGCCACGGCACTCACTCTAGCCAGGGCAACAGAGTGAGACTCTGTCTCAAAAGAAAAATAAAATAAAAAATAAATATTGTCCAGATACAGACTGGCTCACTTTCAGCTGTGAAGTTTCAACTTTGTAACAAATACACAACCAAACAATTGACTCTGATGCTGAACATCTGTGCACTACTCCTACGTGGCCTTCTGAGTATAATGAAAAGATTATGAAAAAATGCAAATAGTATCCTCACTCTTTATCCATACATTCAGCAAATGCAGGTAACTCTCATTATCCAAATCTGTTCAGTTCCTTAGTTAGGATAGTGAGAGACAACTCTGTGTACAATGCTTCACAATCCTAAGAGTCAAGTACCGTTGTTTACTGTTCTACAGATGAGGAGACTCAAGATAAGTCACAAACCCAAGGTCACACGGGAATGTTTGTTCAAGAAAAAGAATAGCCGCCAGCACTGCTGGAGCAGGGTTATGGGGAGAGTGGCACGAGAGGAGATGAGCAGCACACGTCCATATAAGGAGCAAAATCTCATTCTAAGTGTTGATGGAAAACCCTTGGAGAGTTTTTTAGTTTATGTTTCTAACCCTTATACAAATTATCAGTGCGTGCTCTCTCTCTGTTTGAAATATATTATATGGTTACCTTGGTAGTTGTCAATTCTGAGATGCCTACTAGACATCCTAGCAGGGATGTCAAAGAGGCAAATGGCTAAATCTGGAGTTGTGAGAAGTCGGGACTGAAAGTAGCATTTGGGGATCATCTGCATATCTATGGTAACTTAAAGCCATGGCTCTAAATCCATGAGACTGACTGGAAAAAGAGTGTAGATTTGGAGTAGAGTGGCTGGCCAAGCCTGGAAAAGGTTGCTCAGAGGAAGAGTTGGTCAGAGAAAGGGAGACCTAGTCAATAACAATGAATGGCCACTGAGGGGTTAACTAAGATGCTGAGACGTCACCAGTGGATTTGGCAAAAAGGAAATCATTGGTTTTACCCTATCAAGAGGGATTCTGGTGTAATGCGGAGGTTGAGAAGGCCAACTGGAGTGGGTTGAAAAGTAAATGGGCGATTAGGAAGAAGCAGGAACTATTAAGGTTTTTCAAGAAATTTTGCTGCAAAGGGAATCAGAAAAATGGAGGTTGGTGAGATTGAGTAATTTCTGTTTAAAGAACATGTTTATACACTCATGGGTGTGTCCCAGGAGAGACAAATAAGAGATGGAAAAACTGTAGGATTAATATCCTTGAGGAAGTGAAGGTGGGTTGACTTTGGATAAGAGTAGAGCTATTGGTGCTGGTCCACAGAGTACGAGAACGGATGCAGGCAGGTTGTTGAAGCAGGTGTTGTGAGAGGCAGGGGAGTTGCTGCTGGTTGCCCCTTTACAGAGGACAATAGAAAAGGAGGGAGGAAAATGTAGGAGGGTTGGAAAGGAGATATGACATAGTCATTTTGAGTAGAAAGTGAACATACAAGTGTACATAAGAACGTTCAGTAGAGTTGAACAGCCATGTGTGCTTTGTGGCCATTAATTTAAAAAGAGACTAGTCAGTACAGCAGCAAAATTTAGGTG